GTGGAAAACAGTATGGAGATTCCTCAAAAGACTAGAAATAGACTTACTGTATGACCCAGGAATCCCGCTCCTGGGCTTATATCCAGAAGGAACCCTACTTCAGGATGACACCTGCACCCCAATGTTCATAGTAGCACTATTTACAATAGCCAAAACATGGAAACAGCCTAAATGTCCATCAACGGATGACTGGATAAAGAAGAGGTGGTATATTTATACAATGGAATACTATTCAGCCGTAAAAACTGACAACATAATGCCATTTGCAGCAACTTGGATGCTCCTGGAGAATGTCATTCTAAGTGAAGTAAGCCAGAAAGAGAAAGAAAAATACCATATGAGATCGCTCATATGTGGAATCTAAAAAACAAAAACAAAAAAACAAAGCATAAATACTAAACAGAAATAGACTTATAGACATAGAATACAAACTTGTGGTTGCCAAGGGGGTGGAGGGTGGGAAAGGATAGACGGGATTTTAAAATTGTAGAATAGATAAACAAGATTATACTGTAAAGCACAGGGAAATATACACAAGGTCTTATGGTAGCTCACAGAGAAAAAAGTGTGACAATGAATATGTATATGTTTATGTGTAACTGAAAAATTGTGCTCTACACTGGAATTTGACACAGCATTGTAAAATGATTATAAATCAATAAAAAATGTTAAAAAAAGAAAAACACAGCCTAGTTATAATATGCAATATAAAGGTTATTTTCTTATTTTAAAAATCTTCCCATTTTGGAGAAATCCTAAACTTTCCATAGTTCCCTTATTAGGCAGTGCCGCATAAAGTTATTTAGTTAACATTATTATGATCATGGCTTACGATTAAGTTCAATTTGACAAATACCTATATATAGCAGCCCTCGCATGGATGTCAGTTATGACGATAATTGCAGTTCCATCAAAGAATACTTGCTTATTAAATTTGGTACAAAGCATGAACATTCAGGACAGATTGGCACAACACATGCAGTTCGAGAACTCTCTTTGCTCAAGCCAGTCATCATAGTCCAGTCCTGCTTTCCAAATCCTTCTTTGTATCATAACTGATGTTTAAAACGCTTCTTAAAACATCTTCCAGAATGAGAAAGGTAGGCTTTCAAAACCAGTCATCGGAATGCATGGTGGAAATGAGGCAGCATAGCTGAACCAGTGCCAGTTGGGAACATGTGGGGGACGGGAGGGAGGGGGAGCTGGCCCAGGCTCATAGTGCTCGTGGCTAGTGAGGGATCTTGTTGCTGCTGTCCCAGACAGCTTAGCCTATGGGGCAGAGATTCCCTAGGCCCCAGGGTGGGAGAGTTATTCCCAAAGGCATTTTGGGTAGCAGGAGAGGGCAGCTGCCAGAAGCCCAACAAGGGGGAAAGGTCCAAAGAGGCAGCTATTGTTAGGTTCACAGCGTCTGCAGGCAGCTCCCTGGGCAGGTTGACTTTACCAGCACCTTTCTTAGCCAGATCAAAACCTGGATTGAGCTTGTGAGGTGTCTGAGGCTCTTGCAGAGGCCAGTCCTCAAGCAAATTGGTATTGCTGAATCCTTTAGTATCTGCTTTGAGGGGCAGGCTTGCAAGTGGGGAGTATGAGGTAGAACTGGTGTTGTACTTGTGATTCTGGCGGGGTGGTGGAGGAGAGCTTGGGAGAGGCTACGGCGGGGAGGGTGGGTGCGCAGGGGTGCCAGGAGCTCTGGCAGCGCAGGGACAGGCTGGGAGGTTGGCTCCGGGGGATTGTGGGTGTGGCTGTGTACCTCAGCTGGCAAGCTACTTGCAAGCCCGTTCTGTGCAGGCGCTCCTAAAGGGAAAGGAGACAGCGGGGCCACCCTCAGTCGAAACTGGGGAGAGATGGAGTGGAAGGTGCTCAGAAGGTCTCCAGACTGCAAACTCCCTTTCATCAGCTCCTGAGTGTGTCTTCTTGGTATGTCATGTTAGGTGGTCTTTGCGCTCAAATCTCTGGGCACAAAACTGACACGGGAAGTCCTTGCAGCCTGTGTGGATCACCAGGTGGCACTGCACGTCTTTCAGGGTGTAGAAGCATCTTTCACAGTGGTCGCACTGGTGCTTCTTTTCCTTGGTTTCACTAGGGGGCTTCTCCTCTGCGTGGGCTTTGAGGTGGTCCAGCAGCACCTCTGTGCTCCCCAGCTCCAGGGCACAAACCCTGCAGGTGAGGTCGCCGCTGCTGGCCGCAGGGAGGGCCAGGTGGCTCTTGTAGCCCAGCATACTGTTGTACTTCTTTCCACACTCCTCACACCCAAAGGCCATTATGTTGCGGTCATGTGTTTGGGGGTGGTTTTTCAGGTGGTCTTTCCGTTTAAAAGTCTTCTCACAGTGAGCACACTGGTGGGACTTCTGGGATGAGTGGGTAGCCTCATTAATTTGTATCTGGAAATGAAGGTTTTGTCAGAGTCTGGCTGCAAGCACTTGTAGGGAATAATTGTGGATAGTGAACTTCTTCAGGGTGAGGAATGTCTTGCCAGATAATTGGAGGGGTACGTGGCCATGGGCTTTGTCTCTCACACCTTCCTTTTCGGATGCGCTGACCAAATACTGTGCCGTTTAAGTACAAATAGAAGGATGGTGCTGAGTACATCATCAGCAGAGCCACAGCAGCTGAACTCCAGACCACAGAGGAGACAGTGTTATGGTCCTGGACCTGGTTCTACCCAGACACGGATCTCTCAGTTACCACTAGCTTTGCTTGCTGCTTCCCACAGCCCAACTTCCATGCAGTCTCAGGCTGAGAGGAGAACGTCTGAGGCACTGATGAGGTTCCAGGAGCCAAAAGGCAATCTGCATCACTAGAGCTGGGGCATGTCCTGGATCACCCGGCTGTCCATTGTTAGCTATGTCCTGAGGTTCGGTTTGCTCATTTGTGGTGTCTACCTGATGCATGTCAATGGGCTAACGGGGACAACCTACTTCTCGGGACCAGGAAACGTCAGCTCTGAGGCAGTCAGGGAGTCCTCTCAGAAGTCTGAGGCTTCAAACAAGATTAACTCCTCTGATTCCTCTGCAAATACTGTTCTAGTCTGAGGTACAGAGAAGTTTCAGATGTGACATGAAACAGAGGCCACATCAGAGGTGATATCAATCAAAAGCCAATGATGATTATGTTGTCAGTCAGGCTGGAACCACCTTAGGTACAGGAACACAATAACTCCAGGATAGATGATGAAATGTCCACACCTAGACGCGCTGTGTTGTAAAACCTGCGGGGTCCGGAGCCCCCTCCCTGGAGCTTAGGCGCGGCAGCTCGGGCGCGCCGCCTCCTTGGGCATGACGGTGACCCTAGGAAGCGCCCCGCGCGACAAGGCCTGTGGTCCTCGGGGCTGGGAGGAGAGCAACGCCATCTGTCCGTCCTTCTGTCCTCCAGAAGAGTCTGTGATGGTTAATTTTTTGTGTCAATTTATCTAGGCCATGGTATGCAGATATTTGGTCAAACATTATTCTATATTTCTGTGAAGGTATTTTTAAAATGAAATTAACATTGAAATTAGTAGACTTTGAGTAAAGCAGATTATCATAATGTAGATGGGTCTCATCCAAGCATTTGAAGGCCTTAATAGAAGACTGATCTCCCTTGAAGAAGAGGGAATTCTGCCGGCAGGCTGCATTAAGACATGAGCTGCAGCAGCAGCCCTTCCCTGGGTTTCCAGCCTGTTGGCTTATACTGAAGATTTTGGACTTGCCAGCTTCCACAATCGCACGAGCCAATTACTGCAATAAATATCTCTCACTTTCTTTATGTCTATCAACTTACATATATATCTATATCCTCTTGGGTCTGTTTCTCAGGAGAACCCCAACTAATACGTTATCTTTTGGTTAATGAGAATAATGCTGTGATGAACGTTAGTGTAGAAATGTCTGTTGGGGTTCCTGCTTTCATTTCTTTTGGGTGTAAATCTGGAAGTGAATTTGCAGGATCACACAGTAATTCAATATTTCATTATTTGAGGAACCGCCATACTGTTTTCCACAGCAGCTGCACCATTTTACAGTCCCATCAGCAATACACAAGGGTTCCTGATTTCTCCATTTGTTATTCTGTTTTTTTAATTATTGTTTTTTAGTAACAGTCATCTTCATGGATATGAAGTATTATTTTATTGTGGTTTTGAGTTGCATTTCTCTAATGATTAGTGACGTTAAGCATCTTTTCATGTGCTTATTGGCCATTTGTATATCTTTTTGGAGAAATGTCTAGTTAAGTTCTTTGTTGATTTTTAAGTCAGGTTTTGTTTCGCTGTTGAGTTGTGGGCATTCTTTATATATTCATGATGTTAACTATTCATCAAGTATATGATTTGTAGATATTTTCTCCCATTCCCTAGGCTGCCTTTTCTCTCTGTTGTTGTTGTCTTTTGATATAGTTCAATTAGTATATTTTTCCTTTTGTTGCCTGTGGTTTTGGTGTCATATCCAAGAAAGTATTGCCAAATCAAATGTGATGGTTTTCGTTTGTTTTCTTCTAAGAGCTTTATAGTTTTAGTTTTGATGGTTAGGTCTTTGATACATTTTGTATTAATTTTTGTATTTGATGGAGGTAAGGGTCTGACTTTCTTCTTTTGCATGTGGATATCTAAGCAATTCTCTTATCAATCATCATAATGCTTATCTCCATGTAAACATCATTAACATAGCTATAGCTATAGTATCAAAATACTGATTCATTCTTGACTTATTCTTTAAATTATGTCTAAAGTGCTAATTTTTTATAAATCTTTCTATAAATTTTAATGTTTCCAAGGAGGAAAGATTATTCCTGTGGTTGAAAGGCATTGGTTGTTGAGAGCTATCCTTTGTTTGCTTGCTTGCTTGCTTGCTTGTTTCTTTATTGTTCTGCCTTTTTTTTTAAACTCAGCCATATACACACACAGATATACATACACATATACATGAATAATACACACATCTCAACTTGTCAGTTGAGACATAAAGATTTTTGTAGCATATTTTGTCATGGAGAACAGTAGGTGAAATTCAAATGGAAGGAAGTTCTTTTTTTTGAAGAAAAAGACTAAATCACTTAATGTAACAGTGGCATTGGACTAAGATTGTCAAACCAGGCTGTTTGGACTGTTCCTCTCTCTGGACTGTTGGCTTCTGCCTGTGAACCATCTGACCGTTTCCAGTCTTCTCTGGCTTTCAGAGCTCCTGTGAAGAACTCTGACACTCAGCTGCCTCAGTGAAACCTTGGAAGAGAATGAGTTTTTTCTCCCATGCACCTGCCACCCCTCCCAGTAGCCTGGGCCCTTCTGGTGCTATCAACTCTCCTAAACAGGAAAAAGGTACAGAGGCAAATGTCTCTTTGCTGCCGAGTGCGAAGTTCCGTCCTTTGTGGCTTGGTTATCTCTCTCATAAAAAAGTGTCTAGCATTTTCCATGGCAAGGAAGCGAGTGGTATGTCAGCACTTTCCTCTAGGGTGCCTGACATTCTCTGGCTTCTAAAAATATATACATTATTTTATGGAATTCCCTTTAATAGATGAGAAAGTTGATTTTTTTGTAAAGTAATATTATATACCTAAGGAAATTGATGTTCAGAAAGGTAAATTTTGCTGTTTATCTAGTAAGTGAGGAATATGAAACTTTATCCGATTTTACTGCCCTTTTCATTAAACGTCTCTGCTGCCTCCAAAAGACAGGGCACTGCCCAGTCTAGAACTGGTACATAATTCCAGCTGTGTAACCGAATCACTGGGGAGCTATTAAAAAGTACACCACACCCTCCTTGTCCTGCCCCTGGGGATTCTTTGTCAACAGGTGCAGAATGAGGCCAGGCATCTGTGAAAAGCTCCCCATAGAAATCTGATGCTTGGTCCAGGTCGAGAACCAGGTAGAAGGAATTTTTCCAGGAAGAGATAATAACCCTTACTCAGGTAGGGTAAATACCCAGGTGGGCTGATGTTCTTTCCCAGTGCTCTGAACTGGCCCAAGCAAGTACAGTTGGAGGAAAGCTCGTTATAAGGTCATAATTAAAAAAGCATGTGTGGTGGTGGTGTTAACTAGCCTTGTGGTAATCATTTCGCAATATAGACGTATATTGAAAATCATTATGTTGTGCACCTGAATCTAATATGATGTTCTACGTCAACTGTATCTCAATAAAACAACAAATAAACTGGATGGGATGTTTACAGTGGTTCCCTTTTTATCTTGTGGCCACATTTCCATGCAAACTCACTTCTTTAAGCTGAAAGGTGAACTCCTTCTTACCAAATTATGTAGAGCTCCCATTAACTTCACTTTTCTCAGAGCCAGAGTCCCCTCAGGGCTGTAGTTATTTCTTGGTAGTAACTTAGGTGTTTAAGAGTCATTTGAGTTCCCTCCTAATGACCTGAAAGTATAATTAGTCCATTTTCTGACTTGAGTCAACAACGAGGCGGCCAAATAGACCCTTATGTAGAGAAGCTGTGTCTATCTCTGGCTCAGGGTCTACCACGAATTACATTTTCAGCCAAAAGCATTATATTTTATTTGTCATATTTTTAAAAGCAGAAAAAGGAAACCAAAGTGAAATATAAGGAATTTCTGAACTTTGGGAAAATATTTCTTCAAAAAAAGATGTATTAGTTCCTAAAATATTCCTCTAAAGTTAAAATAATTGATTAAAGTATAAAAATATTGGGATTAGTGACTATTCTCATAGAATTCAAAAGACATACCTCGTATCCAAGTAGCCCTACTTTAAATCACTACCCTCACATTTTATTTTATTTTAATTTATTCTTATTTTTGATTGACATAGTTACAATGTGTAAATTCTGGTATACAGCATAATGTCCCAGTCATGCATATACATACATATATTCTTTTTTTATATTCTCTTTCATTAAAGGTTATTACAAGATATTGAATACAGTTCCCTGTACTATACAGAAGGAATTTGTTTTTTTAAAAATCTATTTTTTTATATAGTGGCTAACATTTACAAATCTCAAATCTCAAATTTATCCCTTTCCACCTCCTTCCCCCTCTGGTAACCATAAGATTATTTACTATGTCTGCAAGTCTGTTCCTGTTTTGTAGGTGAGTTCAGAGTCTCCCCCCTTGTTTTTTTTAGATTCCACATATGAGTGATATCATATGGTATTTTTCTTTCTTTTTATGACTTTCTTGACTTAGAATAACAATCTCTAGTTCCATCCATGTTGCTGTAAATGGCATTATTTTATTCTATTTTATGACTGAGTAGTATTCCATTGTATAAATATACCACAACTTCCTTATCCAGTCATTTGTTAATGGACATTTAGCTGGCTTCCATGTCTTGGCTATTGTATATTGTGCTGCTATGAAAATTGGGGTGCATGTATCTTCTTGAATTAGAATTCCCTCCGGATCACTACCCTACACTTTAAATTTAAAAAAGTATAAAGTTCTGAATTTCACTTTGATATGTATAGGTATGGATTCAAAAAATTTTTTTTACCCTCTTGTTTTTCCTGATGTGTTCTTTCAATTAGGGCCCAAGTCTTTCTTTAGCTCAGAGAGTTTTTCTCCAATTATTTGGTTCTTGCCTCCCTTCTCTCTCCCAGCAAGGCATAATTCAGACTGATGATTATGGAAAACTGTTAAAAGAAGAGAGGAAAAGCCAAAAGAGAGACAGAAATTGTAGTAAGGAGCACATTTAGGACAATTTTAGGGACTTTGTATATTTAAAAAATAATGAAAATTTAGTAACATTAAAGATGTTAGTGAACAGAGAGGATGCGGGGTGGG